CTAATCTATGATAAAAATGCATTTCATAATGATTCTGTTTTTGCTGTTCTCCATTCTTTCAAATATGCTTGGATATGCAAAAATGTTCTTGAAACTGTAAATAACCAGAAATGTTGGTTGTTGCTGCTGTCATTCTCTCTTCATTGCCTTTAAGATTTCTTTCCAAAAAAAGTACTTGCCAAAAGAAAAATGTAATTTGTTTGTCCTTGGCAACAGTGATTTGCCAACTTTTTATTTGAATATTTTTTCTCACTTCTTTGGGGACTTGCTCAGTTTTTTTTGTTGTTGTTTTTTTGTTTTTTTGTTTTTTTTTTTTTGAGACAGAGCCTTGCAATTCCATCGCCAGGCTGGAGTGCAGTGGCGCAATCTCGGCTCACTGCAACCTCTGACTCCCTGGTTCAATCGATTCTCCTGCCTCAGCCTCCCAAGTAGCTGGGATTACAGGCATGTGCCACCATGCCCAGTAATTTTTGTATTTTTAGTAGAGACAGGGTTTCACCATTTTGGCCAGGATGGTCTCAATCTCCTGACCTTGTGATCCACCCGCCTCAGCCTCCCAAAGTGCTGGGATTACAGGCATGAGCCACCGGGCCCGGCTGCTCAGTTTTCTAAAGTTGAAAATGAGGGCTGCCCAAAGCTCATGCCCATTCCAGGAAATTTGTTGCCTCTAAATGTTTTCAGAATGAAACACTTTCTGTTTATTCCTGTTGCCACAACCTAGGTGGTACTCTCAGAACCTCATCTGGCACAGTATCTTGGTGGTGCTGCCTCTGGTCTTTCCTCCCTTCAGTCTGCTCTGTCTCATCCTGGAACAAGAAGTGTCATCCTGGAACAATCTTCTTATCAAGTCTTTGACACACTTAAGGTCTAGATTCTTCCCTTACTCTCTGTTAACACTATGCAATCAAACTTCTCTGCCTAGGTTTCCCAAGAGAAACCCTTGACTCCAGTCATCTGATTGCTACATGCCTCACCTTCTCTATAGTTGGAATGCCTTTCTCCTTCTCAAGGCTAATCCACAGGCTTCACACCTTAAGTCTCACCATCTACCAGAAGTCCACAGGGATTTTTCATTTTCTTGAATTCTAATAACAGCATGCATTCACTTGTTCACCATGTATTGATCGACTAGTTTGTGCAAAGCCTTCTGGGCATACGGTGCTGAGTAAAGCCATTATGAATTTTGCTCTTTAATTGATTCTTAAATGCTGTAGTGGAGTAGTATCCAATTGTTTTTTACATAGATGAATTGACATTTCAATTGGCTTGGAAATTTCTTATTTGTCAGGGACTATCATGATCTATAGTCTTACCAGTGCCCATCAAAGTGGGGCAGACAGGTTGCCTTGACTGGACAACTTCAAGGTCTACCCTATAAATAGAAGGCCAGATCACTCCATTTAGGTTTTCTTCAGAATTTGATTACTTGAAATACCTCTGTGAAACCAAAGAGCCCAACACTCAACTCAAGAGGATCCACGTGCAAATTCCCTCTTTTACAGACTAGGCTTTGTCTTGGTTACTTTTTCAGAGAAATTTTTATTTAAATACATAATCTTCTATTCATTCTAGTAGCAAGTCTTTCAGGTGTTAGAGATTTAACACAAATGACTTCTATTCTTTGATAGAAAAAAGCCAAAAGAAAGGAGAAAAAATAATCTTTGTAGTTTCTGTAAGAATTGTAATTTCTTAAAGATTATAGCAGTAGCAGAAAAATAAATAAATCACAAAGAGAAAACTCACACCCCCCCAATAAGAAACAGTTATCAAATAATTAGAAAAAGATAAAAACAAGCTGTAAACACTGCCTTAAAGCAGAATTAGAATTACTAAGTGTTCTCTGGGCTTGGAAAATGATGAATCAGATTTTAGTCACATAAGGGACACGCATCTTTGCCAAAATTCAGAATAAAGAGTATGAGTATTGCACACAATTTGCCACCTGTGATTTCACTGTCAACTGACACTTTTCCCATTCCCAGCAGCTTTAAGTCTGCAGAACCGTAAATCCCTAGAAAGACCTACAGGGCCACTCAAGATTCCTGAACTTTGCTTTCAAACTGATGGTTCCCATGATGTTCCACTGTGAAAAGAGCCATCCAGAGACTTTCAATCCAGGAGTCACTTAGTCTAATGAACAACCTCTTTTATCTAAACCAGAGGTTCTTAGCTGAGGAGCAGTGGATTCCCCCAAGAGGATCAGGGATAGAGTCCAGGAGCTCCATGAATTTTAATGCGGGATTTTAAAAACTCATCTTTATTTTCATTTAGCTGTAACTGAAATGCAGGTTAAGACTAGAGAATTAATAGCAGTCTCTGGGACATTTTCACCCATATAAATCACAAATATATTCTTGCTACATTTTAGTTGTTATAAGTATTCCAAAATATCACTGATACTTCACAATCACAGCAGTTATTAGGACTGCCACTAGATTGTATTTAATATTTTAATAAAGAGGCACATATATTACAATTCCACTCGTTTGTTCTTTTAAAAAATATTTTGATAATTATATATTTCAATATAATTGGCTGTTTTTGTAATCTTATATATTTTATTTTATGCATTTAAAAATATGCTGAGAAAGAGTCCATAAACCTCAGCAGACTGCCAAAAGCCAAAGGTGTCTGTGACATTAAAACAAAGTTAAGAGCACCTAGCTCAATTTTCATTTTTAACATTTGTTAACTGATCACATGGATTTAAAGAAATTGAGTAACAGGTATAGATCAGGGTATAGACTCAATGTGAAATCCTCAAACTCTTGGAATTATTGTATGCACCACTCTTGGAGATAAGTATCCATTTCATTAAATGGAAGAATAATACAAACTCCATAAAAATAATGTGTTGTTGTCATTTTACATAGTAGTAGCAATAATATTACATATTGTTTTAAATCTTCTACTATGTCCCTGCTGATTTTAATTGTTATAATTATTCTCAAGATAATACTATGACTTCTACGTTCTCATTTAATTGTCACACCTTTAAAGGGAATAAGCAGATCAGATTACATCCATGTTACAGATGAGAAAACTTGAGAGGTTCAGGAAAGCTGGAGACCCCACAGTTGATCAGCATTAAAAAAAGATAATATTTTAATCTACACTTAACAAATGAGAAAACAAGCTCTGAAAGGTTAGGGAGGTTGCAGTAAGTGTCAGGACTGGGGTTTGGTCAGATTCCAAAACCCTTTGTATTTTGCATCGTGTCATGCTGCCTACCTCACTATCTGTTTATTATTGAGCTCACATAGATTGTTAGAAATGACAGCCTGGCGTGCCTCCCCCCACCCCAAGAAAATTGTACTCAGTTGAATCACAGGGTGCACTCAGGGAGAGGAAGATAATACATTTCCAAAACTTTAGCACAGCTCAGTCCACTCAACAGCCCCAAGAGAGGGGGCGTGTCTTTGGGATATTAGCACTGCTTTCCCTTTCAGGCCCTGCCCACCTTGTCGCTGATGAGTCCGAAGCCTTCTCCCTCATTCTGTTGACTCTCACGTACATAGCCATTCCCAGATCAGGATGTGTATTCCGAATCAAGTAATTTTTGCTATGGAATGCAAATAATTATATCATATAGATGTGTTTTCAAAATCTGACTAATGGTCAATGCTTGTATATCTTATTTCCCATTTATGGGAAGATAGACTTTATCATTCACCTGTGTGATTTTGTGAGGCAGAGAAGCATTTTTCTCTTCACTTTTCTTTCTTTTTGCTTTCTAATTTGCTATTAAGCTGTTGCAGATTACAAATCAAGAGCATGATTGCTAATTCCATTAGAAGAGCAGGCAGTGGTGGGAGTCCTTGGCCTCTTAAAAAGTGCCAGGCTTTCCGGGCACAGCGGCTAATGCCTGTAATCCCAGCACTTTCGGAGGCTGAGGTGGGTGGATCACCTGAGGTCAGGAGTTCGAGACCAGCCTGGCCAACATGGCGAAACCCCGTCTCTGTTAAATATACAAAAATTAGCAGGGTACGGTGGTGCATGCTTGTAACCCCAGCTACTAGGGAGGCTGTGGCAGGAGAATCGCTTGAACCTTGGGGGCAGAAGTTGCAGTGAGCTAAGATTGCGCCATTGTGCTCCAGCCTGGGCAACAAGAGGGAAACTCCATCTCCCAAAAGAAAAAAAAAGTGCCAGGCTTTGGAGGGCTTGGAAAAGTGTCCACAGAGTGTTCTCAAACTTCAAGCCCTCGTATGGTAGTATGGGCTCATCCTAACTACCCTCCTTTTTTCTGGAAGCTCTCATTTTGGTCATTGTGGTAATACCATATTTAATCTGTTTCAACTCCAGTGAGATTTATAGTCTCTGATGTTGCTTTTAATTCTTCTCATGTGTTGCCCACTTATTTGCAAACTGGTCTTCTTAATTCATGTTAAACTCTGCATATCAATTAGTCTTTCATTAACTATAATAATGAAACTGTTACTTATAAAATAATGCATATTTAAACCTATTTTTTCAACTCATTTATTTATCAGATCTCTTTTAAGAGCCTAGTTATGTTCAATTTTGCCTTCTGCCCCAAATCCTCACTCTCCTGTAACAGTTAATCTCCATTTAAAAGTTTATAAAGGATTTGCCCTTCTAGATATTTTGCACATTATTTTGGTGCTCCAGAGATGAAACCTAAAATAACAATAAACTCTGCAAATTTGGTTTCACTTCCAAATAATGTAATTGCCTCCCCCACCTCACACACACTAAAAAAGCTTTATCCCAGTCAACTTTCTTAAAAATCTAGGCAAGTATTATTGAATTATTAATACTTCACTTGAAATGTATTATAATTATGTGTTACCTTATATAACACTGTAGTATCCTTTAATTATCAGGTAGAGAGTTAACAGTAAAGTTAAACTGTTGAACATCTGCAAGAAGAGTTGGATTTACAGTTTTACTTTTCTTTGTCATAGTGGCTTAAGCAAGATTTGAGAGAACAACTGAAGTATAATACTTTCCTTCCTCCCTTTCTTGCCTTATCTTTTCAGGCACTTCCACAACTTACAGAATCTTAGTTTGGCCTATTGCAGAAGGTTCACAGACAAAGGCTTACAGTACCTGAACTTGGGGAATGGATGCCACAAGCTCATCTATCTGGACCTCTCCGGCTGCACCCAGGTTTGTCTTTCAGTCTTCTCTTTGCTGCAGGGAGTGAGGAAGTTCTCCGGAGAACGGGCTGCATTCAGCCCTCGCGTTATACTAATGCTGTGCACGGACTGCAGCACACTTTTCAGAGGTTTTAAATTACATGGCCCCAGCTGCTGAAATATTCCCCAGGATCGCTACTATAGGCTCTTGGCTTCCTTCCACTGGAGTGTCACACAGACAAGCAGGCAGAGCTCATTGGATGAGGAAACGGACCACTTTTGTGGAGACAATCTAAGCACAATTCTAAAGCAGAGTCCAAATCCTGAAAAGTCTGGAGTTGCTACCAAGGCACAAACAAAGGAGAACATTTTAGGGTAGAGAATTTTGCACAGGATTCCTGAAAAGTCAGTTAACTCCCACATGGGTTTTTTTGGGGTAAAATGCTACAAGTGATAAAGAGGAAAATAAAATAAAACAAAACATTGTAATTTTTAAAATTGCATTACACCCTTGGGCTAAATAACATGAAGATTTGAGATCTGCATGGGAAAATATTTTAAGTTTGAGGGAACAGGACTTGGAAAGTTGGGCAGAAAATTGGGTAAAGTTGCAGAGGATAGGACATGGCACTTTGGAAGTAGTTGCTGCCTCATTGATCGTTTCTTCTGCTTTAATTTCAGTAGATTTAAGCCATAATACTTTTAACTTACTTTCTGGCTGAAATAAGTTAGTTATTATTGATAGTTATTATTTCTTGAGTCATTACTGTATGCCAAGCATTGTGTTGAGTGCTATACACAGATCAGACTTACTCCTAATACAATGCTGTGTGGTATGTATTTACTATGCTTGTTTACAAATGAAGAGACCAAGGCTCAGAGTGGTTGAATAAGTTGCCCAAGGTTGCACAGCTGGTGAAAGCACATGGCACTAGTACAGTATTAAGCATCCGTTGGTAGACACTGGGGCAGGCAGAGTCCCCTGGGAGAGTGGAATATATAGGGGCAGCACAGGTTTCTCCTTCAGGTTCTTGAAAGGATAGAATTCTTACCTAGTCACCACCACTGACATCCCATGGTATCCTGATGCACTGGGTAATTGGGAGGAAGTTGGGGCAAGGAGAGGGGGATTCTAAGTTAGGGCTGTAAACATCTAACATTAATATTTGTTTAAAACTGACCTACTGATGTATAGCTTTTTAAACATCAACATTTACCATAACTTTATGACTGAGATGGCATTGACGTTCTCCTCAGCATGACTGAACTTTAGACGGGCTTCTTACTAACTGTAGGCCCTGACTACTTGTTTTCTTGTTTCTTAGAGCATTTGTTTCAGAAAACTTGGAATTGTAAGTTCTTCCTCTGCCTCCTTTGAGAGGTGTTTTTATAAAAAGCTTCTTGACGGTTTTACAACTCAGGAATGTCTTCCTCAAGGACCTGGGAGCTATCTCTTTGATATATAATCATCAAAGATAGCACCCCCAACTCCCAGTTCCTGTGGGAGGGTAGAAGCCTAACTTTGATGGGCCCCAATTAGCAAACACAGATGGCCTAATCACAGAGAAAAATATTTGCAAACTCAGGAACAACTTAATGTGCTTGACATATCCCACTGTTAAGCCTCCCTACTAACTATAAATCCTTCAGTACTTTTCTAACTCACCCCTGTGCTTAAACCCTCCTTGTTTTACGTTTTGCAATCACCATGAGGCAGTTATTATAGCAATAACATGCAAATGCACACATAAGTGTCCTAAGGATAAATATTCTCAGACACATTTAAGTTTAAATCAGAAGCTTCAAATCTATGACCTACTGCTCAGATATGTGTGCAAAACACAGATAACTGGAGGAGGCGGAGCAAGATGGTGGAACAGAAGGCTCCACCCATTGTCCCCCACCCAATAACACCAAGTTAACAACTATCTACATAGAAAAAACACCTTCATAAGAACCAAAAATCAGATGAGCACTCATCGTACCTAGATTTAACTTCATGTGGCTGAGTCACTGAAGAGCTAGAAACAACAGTCCTGAATTGGCAATGCCACCCCTCCATCATGGTGCAGAGAGCCTCTCCGGGCACTGGGGGAGGGAAAACACAGCAATTGTGAGGCATTGAACTTAGTGCTGTCCTGTTGGGTCAGTGAGGAAAACTGAACCAAACTCAGCTGATCCCCACCCACAGAGGGAGCATTTAACCCAGCCCTAGACACAGGGGAATTGCTAATCCCAGTAGTCAGAACTTGAGTTCCTATACATCTTGCCACCGAGGGCTATAGTACGCTGTGCCTCCAGGTAAGCTTGAAAGGCAGTCTAGGCCATAAGGACTGTAACTCTTAGGCAAATCCTAGTGCTCAACTAGGCCCAGAGACAGTGGACTGAGGGGCACATGACACACTGAGACACCAGCTGGGGCAGCCAAGGGAATACTGGCATCATCCCCTGACCCCGACCCTGCAAAGAACCTGAAGCCACACAGCTCATTGCTTCAAAGGAGACCCCTTCCTTTCCCTTGAGGAGAGGAGAGTGAAGAGTGGGGAGGACTTTGTCTTGCATCTTGGATACCATCTCAGCCTTGGCAGGACAGAGCAACAGTCAGAGTCATGAGGCCCTCATTCCAGGTTCTAGCTCCCAAGTGACATTTCTAGACACACCCTGGGCCAGAAGGGAACCTGCTGCCTTGAAGGAAAATACCCAGTCCTGGCAACATTCATCACCTGCTAACTGAAGAGCCCTTGGGCTCTAAATAATCAGCAGCAATACCTAGCTACTACATTGAGGGCCTTGAGTGAGCCTGTGTGACTTGCAGGTTTCAGGTGAGACTCAGCATATTACCAGCTGGGGTAGCTATGGGGGAAAACTCCTTTTGCTTGAAAGGGAAAAGCAATGGGGACATTGCCTTGAACCTTAGATACCAGCATGGTCACAGCAGGTTAGAGCACCAAGGGAGACTCTTGGTGTCCCCAATTCTAGGACTTGACTCTTGTATGGCAGTTCTGGACCTGCCCTGGCCCAGAGGGGAGCCCACTGCCCTGAAGGATGAGTACCAGGCGAGGCAGCATTCACCATAAGCTGACTTAAGAGCCCTTGGTCCTTAAGAGAATGTCATTGGTAGTTTGGCAATACTCTTCATGGCCTGGGGTGGCGGTGGCTACAGGATAAGGCTTCTCTGCCTTTGGAAAGGGAAGGAAGAGTGGGAAGGACTGGATCCTGTAGTTTGAATGCCAGCTCAGCTGCAGTGCAATAGAACACCAAGTAGACTTCTAAAGTTTTTGACTCTAATCCCTGATTCCCAGAGGGCACTAAGTACTCACCTGGGGCCTGGGGGACCTCACCACCCTGAAGAGAAGGATACAAGCCTGGCTGGCCTTGCCACCTGCTGATTGTAGAGCCCTAGGGCCTTGAGGAAACAATGGCAGTAGCCAGGAAGTGGTTATAGCAGGCCTTGGCAAGACCCAGTGCTGTTATAGCTTCATGTCTGACCCAATGCAGTCACAGTGGTGGAAGCCATAGGGGTGCTTGTGTCATTCTACCACAAGCTTTGGGTGGCTCAAAACAGAGAGACTTTGTTTGGGAGACAGTAAGGGAAGAGAACAAGAGTCTCTGTCTGGTAATCAAGAGAATTCTTCCAGATCTTGTCCAAGACCATCAAGGTGGTACCTGGACAAGTGTACAAGAACCACAGCATTACTGGGCTTGGGGTGCCCCCTAAAGCAGATACAGCTTGGATCACACCACTCAAGTCCTTACAAATATCTGGAGAGCCTTTCCAAGAAGGATGGCTACAAATAAGCCCAGACAGTGAAGACTACACTAAATACCTAACTCTTCAGTGCCCAAACACTGAAGAATACTAGCGTTAATACCATCTAGGAAAACATGACCTCACCAAATTAACTAAATAAGGTATCAGGGCAATCCTGGAGAAACAGATATGTAATCTTTCAGACAGAGAATTCAAAATAGCTATGTTGAGGAAATGCAAATGAATTCAAGATAACACAGAGAAGAAATTCAGAATACTATTAGATAAATTTAACAAAGAGATTGAAATAATTAAAAAGCAGAAATTCTGGTGCTAAAAAATGCAATTGGCATATGGAAGAATGCATAAGAGTCCTTTAATAGCAGAATTGATCAAACAGAAGAATTAGTGAGCTTAAAGACAGACTATTTTCCTTTACCTCTTGGGTAAAAAGACGAAAGAAAAAAAAAGACAGACTATTTGGAAATATGAAGTCAGAGGAGACAAAAGAAAAAAGAATAAAAAACAATGAAGCACACCTATGGGATCTAAATAGCTTCAAAAGGGTAAGTCTAAGAGTTATTGACTTTAAGGGGGAGGTAGAGATGGAAGTAGAAAATTTATTCAAAGGGAAAATAACACAGCCTGGCCAACATGGTGAAACTCTGTCCAGGAGGTAGAGGTTACTTTAAGCCAAGGCTGTGCCACTGCACACCAGCCTGGGCAACAGAGTGAGACTCCATGTCAAAAACTAACAAAAACCAAAGGGATAATAACACAGAACCTCCAGAAACCTAGAGAATTATATCAATATCCAAGTACAAGAAGGTTATAGAACATCAAGAAGATCTAACCCGAAGTAGACGACTTCAAGGCATTTAATAATCAAGTTCTCAAAGGTCAAGGAAAAAGAAAGGATCCTAAAAGCAGCAAGAGAAAAGAAACAAATAACATACAATGGAACGCCAATATGTTTGGCAGCAACTCTTCAGTGTAAACCTTACATGCCAGAAGAGAGTGGCATGACATATTTAAAATGCTGAAGGAAAAAAACCTTTTTACCCTCAAATAGTAGATCTTGTGAAAATACCCTTCAAACATGAAGGAGAAATAAAGACTTTCCCAGACAAAAGCTGAGAGACTTCATCAACAGTAGGCCTGTCCTACAAGAAATGCTAAAGGAAGTACTTCAATCAGAAAGAAAAGGACATTAACAAGCAATAAATAATCACCTGAAGGTACAAGACTCACCAGTAATAGTAAGTATACAGAAAAACACAGAATATTACACCACCATAATTGTGGTGTGTAAACTACTCTTATCCTAAGCAGGAAGACTAAATGATGAACCAATTAAAAATAACTACAACATCTTTTCAAGACGTAATCAGTACAATGAGATATAAATAGAAACCTCAAAAAGTTAAAAAGCGGGGCAGGGGGACAATGTTAAAGCATTGTGATATGGTTTGGCTGTGTCTCTGCCCAAATCTCATCTTGAATTCTCATGTGTTGTGGGAGGTAATTGAATCATGGGGACAGGTCTTTCCTATGCTGTTCTCATGATAGTGAATAAGTCTAACAAGGTCTGATGGTTTTATCAGAGGCTTCTGCTTTTGCATCTTTCTCATTTTTTTCTTGCCACCACCATGTAGTAAGTGCCTTTTGACTCCTGCCATGATTTTGAGGTCTCTGCAGCCATGTGGAACTGTAAGTCCAATTAAACCTCTTTTTCTTCCCATTCTCAGGTATTTTTTTATCAGTAGCATGAAAATGGACTAATACACATAGAATTTTTATTAGTTTTTTTTTTAAAATTATTGCATTTGGGCTCTGGGGTACATGTGCACATCCTGCTTCCTGCAGAATTGTTGCATAGGTACATAGATGCCATGGTGATTTGCTGTCTCCATCCTCTCCTCCCCTGTGGCCTGCATCAGGCATTTCTCCTGGTGTTATCCCTCCCCATCCTCCTCGCCCCCCTCGCTGTCCCTCCCCTCCCCCCACCTAGTCCTGTGAGTGTTGTTCCCTTCTCTCTGCCCAAGGGTTCTTATTGTTCATCACCTGCCTATGAGTGAAAACATGCGGTGCTTGGTTTTCTGTTCTTGTGTCAGTTTGCTGAGAATGATGGTTTCTAGATTCATCCATGTCTCTGCAAAGGACATGAGCTCATCATGTTTTATGACTCCGTAGTATTCCATGGTGTATATGTGCCACATTTTCTTTGTCCAGTTTATCATTGTTGGGCATTTGGGTTGGTTCCAGGTCTTTGCAATCGTAAACAGTGCCACAATGAACATAGGCGTGCATGTCTTTATAATAGAACGATTTATAATCCTTTGGGTATATACCCAGTAATGAGATTGCTGGGTCAAATGGAATTTCTATTTCTAGATCCTTGAGGAATCGCCACACCCTCTTCCATAATGTTTGAACTAATTTACACTCCCACCAACAGTGTAAAAGTGTTCCTTTTTCTCCACATCCTCTCCAGCATCTGTTGTCTCCAGATTTTTTAATGATCACCAGTCTGACTGGCATAAGATGGTATCTCAGTGTGGTTTTGATTTGCATTTCTCTAATGACCAATGATGATGAGCATTTTTTCATATTTTTGTTGGCTGCATATTTGTCTTCTTTTGAAAAGTGTCTGTTCATATCCTTCACCCACTTTTGGATGAGTTTGTTTTTTTCTTGTAAATCTGCTTTAGTTCGTTGTAGATTCTGCATATTAGCTCTTTGTCAGGTGGGTAGATTGCAAAAATTTTTTCCCATTCTGTTGGTTGTCAGTTTACACTAATGATTGTTTCTTTTGCTGTGCAGAAGCTCTTAAGTTTAATTAGATCCCAGTTGCCTATTTTGGCTTTTGTTGTCATTGCTTTTGGTATTTTAGTCTTGAAGTCCTTGCCAGTGCCTGTGTCCTGAATAGTTTTGCCTAGGTTTTATTCTAGGGTTTTTATGTTGTTCTTGTCTTTAAATCTTGAATCCATCTGGATTTCATTTTTGTATAAGGTGTAAGGAAGGGGTCCAGTTTGTTGTTTATATTTCCGAGGAATTGTTGGTGATCTCCCCTTTATCGTTTTTTTATTGCATCTATTCCATTCTTCTCTTTTCCCTTTTGTTAGTCTAGCTAGCAGTCTGTCTTTATCTCCTTGAGTTCTGCTCTGATCTTAGTTATTTCTTGTCTTCTGCTAGGTTTTGAGTTTTTTTGATCTTGCTGCTCTAGCTCTTTCAATTTTGACGATAGGGTGTCGATTTTAGATCTTTATTTCTCATGTGGGCATTTATTGCTATATATTTCCCTCTAGACACTGCTTTAAATGTGTCCCAGAGGATCTGGTATGTTGTGTCTTCATTCTCATTGGTTTCAAAGAACATTTTTATTTCTGCTTTCATTTCATTGTTTATCCATTCGTCATTTGGGAGCAAGTTGTTCAGTTTCCATGTGATTGTGCAGTTTTGAGTGTTCTTCTTAATCCTGAGTTCTAATTTGATTGCACTGTGGTCTGAGAGACTGTTTGTTATTATTTCCATTCTTCTGCATTTGCTAAGGAGTGATTTACTTCCAATTGTGGGGTCAATTTTAGAGTAAGTGCAATGTGGTGCTGAGAAGAATATGTATTCTGTGGATTTGGGGTGGAGTGTCCTGTAAATGTCTATTAGGTCCACTTGGTCCAGATCTGTGTTCAAGTCCTGGATATCCTTGTTGACTTTCTATCTCGTTGATCTGTCCAATATTGTCAATGGAGTGTTAAAGTCTCCCACTATTATTGTGTGGGAGTCTAAGTCTCTTTGTAGGTCATTAAGAACTTGCTTTATGTATCTGGGTGCTCCTGCATTGGGTGCATATATATTTAGGATCGTTAGCTCTTCTTGATGCATTGATCCTTTTACCATTATGTAATGTCTTTCTTTGTCTCTTTTGATCTTGTTGGTTTAAAATCCTTTTTATCAGAGACTAGGATTGCTACCCCTGCTTTTTTTTTTTTTGCTCTACATTTACTTGGTAGATCTTCTTCCATCCCTTTATTTTGAGTCTATGTGAGTCTTTGCATGTGAGATGTGTCTCCTGAATACAGCACACTGATGGGTCTTGAGTTTTTATTCAGTTTGTCAGTCTGTGTCTTTTGATGGGGGCATTTAGACCATTTACATTCAACATTAATATTGTTATGTTTGAATTTGGTCCTGCCATTTTGTTACTGGCTGGTTGTTTTGCCCATTAGTTGACACAGTTTCTTCATTGCATCATTGTTTTTTACCATTTGGTATATTTTTGCAGTGGCTGGTACTGGTTGTTTTTTTCCCTGTTTAGTACTTCCTTCAGTAGCTCTTGTGAGGCAGGTCCTTGTAGCGATGAACTCTCTGAGCAATTTCTTGTCTGTAAAGGATTTTATTTCTCCTTCACTTATGAAGCTTAGTTTGGCCAGATATGAAATTCTGGGTTGAAAGTTCTTTTCTTTAAGGATGTTGAATATTGGCCCCCACTCCCTTCTAGCTTGTAGGGTTTCTGCCGAGAGATCCGCTGTGAGTCTGATGGTCTTTCGTTTGTGGGTGACTCAACCTTTCTCTCTGGCTGCCCTTTGGATTTTTTTCTTCATTTCAACCCTGGTGAATCTGACAATTATGTGCCTTGTGGTTGCCCTTCTTGAGGAATATCTTTGTGGTGTTCTCTGTATTTTATGGATTTGAATGTTGGCCTGCTTTGTTAGGGTGGGGAAGTTCTCTTGGATAATATCTTGAACAGTGTTTTCCAACTTGGATTCCTTCTCTCTGTCACATTCAGGTACACCGATCAAGTGTAGATTAGGTCTTTTCACATAATCCCATATTTCTTGGAGGCTTTGTTCATTTTTTTTTCACTCTTTTTTTCTCTAATCTTGCTGTCTCATTTTATTTCATTGATTTGATCTTCTATCTCTGATATCCTTTCTTCTGCCTGATTGATTCAGCTGTTGAAACTTGTGTATGCCTCGCGAAGTTCTCGTGCTGTGTTTTTCAGATCCATCAAGTCGTTTATGTTCTTCTCTAAGCTAGTTATTCTAGTTAGCATTTCATCTAACCTTTTTTCAAGGTTCTTAGTTTCTTTGCATTGGGTTAGAACATGGTCTTTTAACTCAGAGAAGTTTGTTATTACCCACTGTCTGAAGCCTGCTTCTGTCAATTCATCAAATTCATTCTCTGTCTTTTTTTTTGTTCCCTTGATGGTGAGGAGTTGTGATCCCTGGGAGGAGAAGAGGTGTTCTGGTCTTTGATGATTTCA